ATTTTTTTCGTAAATCTGTTTTTTAGTGTTTTATAAACAAAATATTTTCGAACGCATGCTTCCTATTTAAATATGATTAACTGGCGGAAATTCAAAATCTGTACATATGTTGGCAATTCTTTTTTTTATCGCCAAATATTAATGAAAATTTGTTTATATTTCGTAATGAGGAAATACTTGTGTAGGTTCTTAAAAATATTTTTTGAAAAAAATCCACGTCTTGTGATTACTTCCAAAAATATTTTTTGAAAAAAATCCACGTCTTGTGAATACTTCCAAAAATATTTTTTGAAAAAATCCACGTCTTGTGAATACTTCCAAAAATATTTTTTGAAAAAATCCACGTCTTGTGAATACTTCCAAAAATATTTTTTAAAAAAATCCATGCCTTGCGAAGGCCTCCAAAACTATTCTTTAAAAAATCCACGCACTGTGAAGACCTCCAAAACTATTCTTTAAAAAATCCACGCCTTTTGAAATCCTCGAAAAAATATTCTTTAAAAAATCCACGCCTTTTGAAATCCTCGAAAAAATATTCTTTAAAAAATCCACGCCTTGTAAAGACCTCGAAAAATTTTTTTTTGAAAAATCCACGCCTTGTACAGACCTCGAAAAAATATATTTTTAAAAATCCACGACTTGTAAAGACCTCGAAAAAATATTTTTTTGAAAAATCCACGCCTTGTAAAGACCTCGAAAAAATATTCTTTAAAAAAAAATATTCTTAAAAAAACACGCCTTGTAAAGACCTCGAAAAATATTCTTTAAAAAATCCACACCATGTAAAGACCTCGAAAAAAAAATTCTTTAAAAAAACACGCCTTGTGAAGACCTTGAAAAAATATTCTTTAAAAAATCCACGCCTTGTACAGACCTTGAAAAAATATTCTTTAAAAAATCCACGCCTTGTAAAGACCTCGAAAAAATATTCTTTAAAAAATCCACGCCTTGTAAAGACCTCCAAAAAATATTCTTTAAAAAATCCGCGCCTTGTAAAGACCTTGCGAAGGCCTCCAAAACTATTCTTTAAAAAATCCACGCACTGTGAAGACCTCCAAAACTATTCTTTAAAAAATCCACGCCTTTTGAAATCCTCGAAAAAATATTCTTTAAAAAATCCACGCCTTTTGAAATCCTCGAAAAAATATTCTTTAAAAAATCCACGCCTTGTAAAGACCTCGAAAATTTTTTTTTGAAAAATCCACGCCTTGTACAGACCTCGAAAAAATATATTTTTAAAAATCCACGACTTGTAAAGACCTCGAAAAAATATTTTTTTGAAAAATCCACGCCTTGTAAAGACCTCGAAAAAATATTCTTTAAAAAAAATATTCTTAAAAAAACACGCCTTGTAAAGACCTCGAAAAAAAAAATTCTTTAAAAAAACACGCCTTGTGAAGACCTTGAAAAAATATTCTTTAAAAAATCCACGCCTTGTACAGACCTTGAAAAAATATTCTTTAAAAAATCCACGCCTTGTAAAGACCTCGAAAAAATATTCTTTAAAAAATCCACGCCTTGTAAAGACCTCCAAAAAATATTCTTTAAAAAATCCGCGCCTTGTAAAGACCTCGAAAAAATATTCTTTAAAAAACCCACGCCATGTAAAGGCCTCGAAAATATATTCTTTAAAAAATCCGCGTCTTGTAAAGACCTCGAAAAAATATTCCTTAAAAAATTCACGTCTTGTAAAGACCTCGAAAAAATATTCTTTAAAAAATCCACGCCTTGTAAAGACCTCGAAAAAATGTTCTTTAAAAAGTCCATGCCTTCTAAAGACCTCGAAAAAATTTTCTTTAAAAAGTCCACGCCTTGTAAAGACCTCGAAAAAATGTTCTTTAAAAAATCCACGCCTTGTAAAGACCTCGAAAAAATATTCTTTAAAAAACCCACGCCTTGTAGAGATCTCCCAAAGATATTCCTTAAAAATCCACGCCTTGTAGAGATCTCCCAAAGATATTCCTTAAAAATCCACGCCTTGTAGAGATCTCCCAAAGATATTCCTTAAAAATCCACGCCTTGTCAATACCTCTCAAAAATATTCTTTTAAAAATCCACGCCTTGTAAAGACCTCGAAAAAATGTTCTTTAAAAAGTCCACGCCTTGTAAAGACCTCGAAAAAATGTTCTTTAAAAAGCCCACGCCTTGTAAAGACCTCGAAAAAATGTTATTTAAAAAGTCCACGCCTTGTAAAGTCCTCGATAAAGCCTTAAAGGTTTTTCTTTTTTATTGAAGAATAGAAATGTGTTTTTATTTACGACACCCAGGAATGTCCAAACATTTGTACATTTTTGTTTTTTTTTTTTTCATTAACAAGATTAAATTTCCAATTGATACAAGCCATTTGATTGAACAACAACAACACGAAACAATTATTTATAATTAGTTTTCGCATTCTTTCTTTGCAGTTGAACTGATTTATAGCAGCAATCACGGCCCTCTAGCCCCTGGGAGGAGAAAATTTCCTAAAACAAAATAACACACATACACAACCACACACATTTGTATATGTTCGCCATCACAGCAACCGCGTAGAGCCACCACCATTAACAACAACAAATCATGGAACAACCATTAATAGTCCAAGCCGAGTACTCCTTCAAGGGGGGCAACAATGATGAATTGTGCTTTAAGAAAGGTGATCTAATCACTGTGACACAGCGTGAAGAGGGTGGCTGGTGGGAGGGTACACTAAACGATAAGACTGGCTGGTTTCCCAGCAATTATGTTATGGAATACAAGGCACCATTGCCCATTACCGATTCGATTCGGCCACCCGAGGAGATACAAGAATATCGATCGGTAGTACTCAAAGATTTGCTCGATTCGGAGCGGGCGCATGTGGCTGAGGTCCAAGGACTGTTGGAGAATTTTTTGGAACCACTACAGCAAACACAAATGTAAGTAGCTGCTCAACAACCAACCCTTCTCATTTCCTCCATTAATTAATAATGACCTCCTTCTACTTATTTTCCATCTCCCCGTTTTGCAGTTTGAATACCGATGAATACGCTCAATTAATGTGCAATTTTGTTGAGGTTGTCAAGACCCACGAAGAGCTGCTGACACAAATGGAAGAGTGCAATGATCGTGTGGGCAAACTATTTCTAAATAAGGCACCACTGATGAAACAAGTTCATCAGGCCTATTGTGCTGCACATCCCAAAGCTATTGTTATATTAGATAAATACAAGTAAGTATCTATATATATGTGTGTGTGTGTGAGTGTGTCTGTGTGTTTGCAAACTTAATTATTGCCAAACCTTGCCAAATGAGTAATAATTTTGTTATTGTTGTATTTGCTTAATTAAAAAAAGTGTTATTGTAGTTTTCATCAAATCATTTGGTTGTTTATTTTGCGATAAGAAAATTGAAATTGTTGTTGTATACATTTGATAAAAACACCTAATTTATGTATTTGATAAATATGTCTGGTATTGATATTTATTTATTTTTTTAAACAAAATTTCATACCGGTAACTAAGACCCCACAACAGTTCACCAGACGTGAGTAGGAATTTGTAAGAACTTCACGCCTTTAATACACCTTCAAAAAAGAATCTTTAAAAATTCCATGCCTTGTAGAGACATTCAAAAAAGAATCTTTAAAAAATCCATGCCTTGTAGAGACTTTCAAAAAATAATATTTAAAAAATCCATGCCTTGTAGAGACCTTCAAAAAATAATATTTAAAAAATCAACGCCTTTGATAGAACTCTAAAAAATATCCTTAAAAAATCCACACCTTGTGGAGACCTTCAAAAATAATCTTTAAAAAAATCCACGCCTTTGATAGACTTTCAAAAAAATAATCTTTAAAAAATCCACGCCTTTGATAGACTTTCAAAAAATAATCTTTAAAAAATCCACGCCTTTGAGAGACTTTCAAAAAATAATCTTTAAAAAATCCACGACTTTGAGAGACCTTCAAAAAATAATCTTTAAAAAATCCACGCCTTTGATAGACCTTCAAAAAATAATCTTTAAAAAATCCACGCCTTTGATAGACCTTCAAAAAGTAATCTTTAAAAAATCCACGCCTTTGATAGACCTTCAAAAAATAATCTTTAAAAAATCTACGCCTTTGATAGGACTTCAAGAAATAATCTTTAAAAAATCCACGCCTTGTAGAGACCTCCCAAAAATATGCTTTAAAAAATCCACGCCTTGTAGAGACCTCCCAAAAATATGCTTTAAAAAATCCACGCCTTGTAGAGACCTCCCAAAACATATGCTTTAAAAAATCCACGCCTTGTAGAGACCTCCCAAAAAATATGCTTTAAAAAATCCACGCCTTGTGTAGAGACCTCCTAAAAACATTCTTTAAAAATCCACGCCTTGTGTAGAGACCTTTTAAAAATATTCTTTAAAAAATCCTCCTAAAAATATTCTTTAAAAATCCACGCCTTGTGTAGAGACCTTTTAAAAATATTCTTTAAAAAATCCTCCTAAAAATATTCTTTAAAAATCCACGCCTTGTGTAGAGACCTTCTAAAAATATTCTTTAAAAAATCCTCCTAAAAATATTCCTTAAAAAATCCACGCCTTGTGTAGAGACCTTCTAAAAATATTCTTTAAAAAATCCTCCTAAAAATATTCTTTAAAAAATCCACGCCTTGTGTAGAGACCTCCTAAAAACATTCTTTAAAAAATCCACGCCTTGTGTAGAGACCTTCTAAAAATATTCTTTAAAAAATCCTCCTAAAAATATTCTTTAAAAATCCTCCTAAAAATATTCTTTAAAAAATCCACGCCTTGTGTAGAGACCTCCTAAAAACATTCTTTAAAAATCCACGCCTTGTGTAGAGACCTTCTAAAAATATTCTTTAAAAAATCCTCCTAAAAAATATTCTTTAAAAATCCACGCCTTGTGTAGAGACCTTCTAAAAATATTCTTTAAAAAATCCTCCTAAAAATATTCTTTAAAAATCCACGCCTTGTGTAGAGACCTTCTAAATATATTCTTTAAAAAATCCTCCTAAAAATATTCCTTAAAAAATCCACGCCTTGTGTAGAGACTTTCTAAAAATATTCTTTAAAAAATCCTCCTAAAAATATTCTTTAAAAAATCCACGCCTTGTGTAGAGACCTTCTAAAAATATTCTTTAAAAATCCTCCTAAAAATATTCTTTAAAAATCCTCCTAAAAATATTCTTTAAAAAATCCACGCCTTGTCTAGAGACCTTCTAAAAATATTCTTTAAAAAATCCTCCTAATAATATTCTTTAAAAATCCGCGCCTTGTGTAGAGTGTTCTAAAAATATTCTTTAAAAAATCCTCCTAAAAATATTCTTTAAAAAATCCACGCCTTGGTTAGGGGCCTTCTAAAAATATTCTTTAAAAAATCCTCCTAAAAATATTCTTTAAAAAATCCACCCCTTGTGTAGAGACCTCCTAAAAATATTCTTTAAAAAATCCTCGTAAAAATATTCTTTAAAAAATCCTCGTAAAAATATTCTTTAAAAAATCCACGCCTTGTGTAGAGACCTCCTAAAAATATTCTTTAAAAAATCCTCCTAAAAATATTCTTTAAAAAATCCTCCTAAAAATATTGTTTAAAAAATCCTCCTAAAAATATTCTTTAAAAAATCCTCCTAAAAATATTGTTTAAAAAATCCTCCTAAAAATATTCTTTAAAAAATCCACGCCTTGTGTAGAGACCTCCAAAAAAGTAGTCTTTAAAAAATCCACGCCTTGTGTAGAGACCTCCAAAAAAGTAGTCTTTAAAAAATCCACGCCTTGTAAAGGGCTTTAAAAATATTCTGTTTAAAAAACTTCTTAGTCCGATTTTTAACATTGTTTTTTTTTTCTAATTCCAGAGATGAACTGGAAAAATACATGGAACAGCAGGGAGCTGCAAAACCTGGCCTTTTAGTCCTCACAACGGGTCTGTCCAAACCATTTCGCCGTCTGGATAAATACTCAGCCATGTTGCAAGAATTGGAACGACACATGGAAAGCAGTCATCCTGATCGAGGGGATACACAACGAAGTGTAGCGGTTTATAAGGATATTGCGGTAAGTTGTCGATCACGATTACTATAACCGATTAATCCATTTTTTTTTACTTATTTTTTGTAGGCCACCTGTTCCGCCACCCGCAGACAAAAAGAACTTGAACTACAAGTCTTAACGGGTCCTGTACGTGGTTGGCAAGGCCAGGAACTCAGTTCATTGGGTGAAATAATTCACATGGGCAGTGTGGCAGTGGGTTTGGATCATCGCGATCGTTATTTTGTATTATTTCCACAGACATTACTCATATTGAGTGTTAGCCAGCGAATGAGTGCTTTTATTTATGAGGTGGGGAAACGAGATGGAGAGAGAAAGAGGACTTCCTGAATTAATTTGTTTTTTTTTTATTTTCTTAGGGTAAATTACCCTTAACGGGTATTGTGGTTAATCGCCTGGAAGATTCCGATACCTTTAAGAATGCCTTTGAAATCAATAGTCCTTTGATTGAGAGGATTATTGCCGTTTGCCAGGGACCCAATGAGGCCAATAAATGGGTCGAGTTGTTAACCTCAACCAATGCCAGTTTACCAATTGGCATTAAACGTCAACATAGTAATTTAAGTATAGGAGGCGGTGGCGGAGGAGGTGGTGGCGGAGGCCACATTTCAACACCACCCAGTCATGTAAGTATGAAATGAAGGAAATCCGTTTTTCGATTTTGTTTTGGAACTTACATTGGTGTAGCTAAGGATTTATGATTTCAATATTTTTTTATTTTGAACACAAAATTTGATTTCAATTCTAAATACTAAACTTCCTACCTTCTATATATACTACTTGTATACCCCGAGTTCCTAAGCTCCCCCAATGTTTTGAAAAGAAATATAAAATTTAACCAAAAATTTCCAAAAAATATACTCAAAACCTTTTTTCTTTATAAATCAAATCAATCCAAAAAACGACCAAAACTTTTTTGTTGTTGTCTGTATAAAAAAAAAAAAAAAAAAATCAAAATACGCGCCGCCATTCATTTAGACCTCGACGTCAGCTTCTTCTTCTTCCTCTATTCATAATTTGGATGCGCGTGGCTATTGTACAAGATTTTCATTGTGTGCCTATTACAATACACCACAAATGCGTGTCACCCTACCGCCCAGTAATTATCCACCCACGGCCCCCTATGCAAATCTCAGTGATCATTTTGCCAAATTGGTCCAGGCCGGCCAATTGAAGGCGGTCATCATAAAAATGTTGCTATATCCCCAGTCAAGACAGAGCATCAACATGGACGCGATACCATTGCGGAAGAGGCGACATAAAACGTGTAAAAAACTGGCCAGGTCTTTGACACCGGGAGAAGAAAGATCGGCAGAGGAGAAATCCGGGGGAACACTGGAGAGACAGGATGCATTTTCATTGCCCACCGATTCGGAAAGTGGTGGTAGCGGGATTGTTAGCGCCCATGATTTTGATTTTGTGAGATTTTCCCGAAACGATTCCATTGTGTCCTCGACTGGTACCTTTATCGATCATGGTCCGGGGGCAGCAACACCACCCACGGGGAAAGCCACCAGGCATTGTTCATCAATAAATCTCATAAATTTTGATTCCGGCTCGGATGATGGTCGTGATGGCCTGGGGACTCTGGGGGACTCTCTTATAATTGGTTCGAAAACTATGCGGGCCATAGGCCGTAAGTCATCGGAACAAAGTATTATTATACACACCTCCAAGGCCCATTTGACCATGGGAGGAGGTGGACTCACACAAACCAAGGAAATTAGCATACCTCATGCTCAGTCCGAACAACTGCTGAAACCTGAAGCATTGTTACAACAACAGACCTCTGAGACTTCGGAAAAATCCTCAGTATATGGTGGGCGCCTGAAGGGGGCCTATATTGCCTGTGAAAATTTAGCTGATCTCTGTGATGAAACAAAAATTAAAAATAGCTCCGAACAACATTTGGCCACATCTCCTCCTGAACGCCACAGTATGCCGAATATTTTTGTGGGTAATCGTTTCAATCGTAGTTCCAAGACAGAGGTCTATGTACCCTCCTGGCAGGATCGTAATGATATGCAAAATCAAAGTGCCGATGCTGTGGAAATAAATCATGGCGGAGGAGGACACGGAGATGATACTGTGGATGGAGAGGTACATGCCAGCACCCTGGATATACCAGCCATGTCTCGAGAAGCTCCCGATAAACTGCAAGCCGAATTGTTATATAATTTCAATGATCTCCAACAAGAACAACACTCACCCACAAAATTACATCTCCAGGTGAATAATGGGGGAGATGATGATCATGTCATAGCACCACCCTCCATGTTCAATAACAACAAAAATTTACATTTATCCCAAACGGAACTGTGCTTCGAACCCAAAAGAAGTAGCAATGAGGAAATGGGGCGAACCAAACGGAATTCGGTTAAACGTTGCATTAGCTATCATTATGTACCCCTAATGCAAGAGGAACAACAGCAGGGTGGAGATGCCAATAGCTCGGTGGCAAATCAAGTGCCACCCGATAGGAGTGATAATAACAACAACAATCGAAGACCTTTCCCGCTACCCGGTGAGAGTAACAGTAGCACCACCACCACCTCACCCAAATGTAAATGCTGTGAAAGTTCTCAATGTCCCAGCCCCCGATCCAGTGACAGCGGAATGGCTGGTAGTTGTACGATAAATTCCCCAGATCCCCCAGCCACCGAGGGTGGTGCCTATGAACCCTTCTACGATGTAGATGGTAATTTGAAATTACTCTCCAGTAATAATGATCTCACACGTTTCGATGTCTGCGGCACATTTCGTGAAAAGTTTTTAGAAAATTCTCAGCAATCGCAACAGGAGGATGAGGCTCATGGGGTACATTCCCAGCCCCCCAATCAAATAACTTCTTTAGAATTCCAAAGGAATAGTAAAAGTATTTTTATTAGCTCCACGGCACCTTCCCATAGCCAGCAGCCATCTTCGTATGCCACAGCCAATGGTGGTTTTATATTCACTTCACAGAGTCCCCATGAATCTGGCATGGAGCCGACCCAATCAGCATCAACTACAAATCCCAATGAAACACCAGGTGTATTTCGTTCGGGAATGTATGCCCATTGGTGGAAAAAGGAAACGCTGCCCAATGAAATTGTCAAAAGTATTGCCCAGGTTTACAATAAACGTCTACCACCGCCCTCCCATGAAGTCAGCTTGGATTCCCACTGTTCGCTATGCTCCAGTTGCCAGTGTTCCCTGGGAGGGGCAAGTGGTTTCAGTGAAGGTGCTGCCTATTGTAGTCTGTGTCAGGATTGTATTAGCATTTGTAGTTCTACGCAAACATCTTCGTCAACGAAATCAACTTCGTCCTCGTCTTCGTCCTCGGCAAATCGCCAACAAATTGCCACCAACACTACCACAACCATAACCACATCTGCCGAATGTCCGCTGTGTAATAATTACAATAGCAACAACAACAATAACAACAGTGCCACCAATTGTTGCCCAACCCTGCGCAATTCAATTGGCAATAATACCCGCGTTGCTGCCAGCCACTCTGGCCAGTTAAGCAGTTCGGCCGGTTCATCCATGGATTGTCCAATTTGTAGTGGCAATTATTTGGCTCGTATGGAGTCCTTAGGTTCAATACGCGACGATGAAGATGCAATGAAGATGATGACATCGACGACGGTGACAAATTCTGGTACTGGTCAAGCAGTCAAGCCATTGGCAGAAGGCAAGCATTTTTAAGCCCCCCCACTCTCAAAAAAATATATCATTTGCTGCTCCTGATGCTCGGCTACGCATTTGTGTGTTGTTGTTCGCGCATCTCGCAAATGTGTAGTTGTTGTGATATGAGCGTTTGTGCACGTTCTGTTTTGTAAATTCGTTCAAATCTTAGTTCTATATATTTTTTTTTCGTTCAAATAATTTTTCTTAATTAATTTTTTTCTAATATCGATTATTTTTTCTGTTTTCCATTTATTGGAGATTAATTATTTTTGAATTTGTTCTCTTTTGTCTGTGTGGTGTGAGAGAGCAGAAGGAGTCATGGTTTTCTAGGGGTGGGATAAAAACTAAATAAACAAGCCTTTATTTAAGGCCTGGATTTTTTAATGAATATTTTTGGCAGGTCATTACAAGGCGTGGATATTCTTTAAAAAAAATATTTTTTGGAGATCCTACACAAGGCGTGGATTTTTTAAAGAATATTTTTGGGAGGTCTTTACAAGGCGTGGATTTTTTAAAGAATATTTTTGGGAGGTCTTTACAAGGCGTGGATTTTTTAAAGAATATTTTTGGGAGGTCTTTACAATGCGTGGATTTTTTAAAGAATATTTTTGGGAGGTCTTTACAAGGCGTGGATTTTTTAAAGAATATTTTTGGGAGGTCTTTACAAGGCGTGAATTTTTTAAAGAATATTTTTCGGAGGTCTTTACAAGGCGTGGATTTTTTAAAGAATATTTTTCGGAGGTCTTTACAAGGCGTGGATTTTTTAAAAAATATTTTTGGCGTGGATTTTTTTTAAGAATATTTTTGGCGTGGATTTTTTTTAAGAATATTTTTGGCGTGGATTTTTTTTTAAGAATATTTTTGGGAGGAGGTCTTTACAAGGCGTGGATTTTTTAAAGAATATTTTTGGGAGGAGGTCTTTACAAGGCGTGGATTTTTTAAAGAATATTTTTTCGGGGTCTTTACAAGGCGTGGATTTTTTAAAGAAGGTTTTTTCGAGGTCTTTACAAGGCGTGGATTTTTTAAAGAAGGTTTTTTCGAGGTGTGGATTTTTTACAAGGCGTGGATTTTTTAAAGAAGGTTTTTTCGAGTTGTGGATTTTTTACAAGGCGTGGATTTTTTAAAGAAGGGTTTTTCGAGGTCTTTACAAGGCGTGGATTTTATAAAGAAGGTTTTTTCGAGGTCTTTACAAGGCGTGGATTTTTAAAGAAGGTTTTTTCGAGGTCTTTACAAGGCGTGGATTTTTTAAAGAAGGTTTTTTCGAGGTGTGGATTTTTTACAAGGCGTGGATTTTTTAAAGAAGGTTTTTTCGAGTTGTGGATTTTTTACAAGGCGTGGATTTTTTAAAGAAGGGTTTTTCGAGGTCTTTACAAGGCGTGGATTTTATAAAGAAGGTTTTTTCGAGGTCTTTACAAGGCGTGGATTTTTAAAGAAGGTTTTTTCGAGGTCTTTACAAGGCGTGGATTTTTTAAAGAAGGTTTTTTCGAGGTCTTTACAAGGCGTGGATTTTTTAAAGAAGGTTTTTTCGAGGTCTTTACAAGGCGTGGATTTTTTAAAGAAGGTTTTTTCGAGGCCTTTACAAGGCGTGGATTTTTTAAAGAAGGTTTTTGGGACGTCGTGGATTTTTTTAAAGAATATTTTTGGGAGGTCCTGGATTTTTTGAAGAATATTTTTGGGATGTCGTGGGTTTTTTAAAGAATATTTTTGGGAGGTCGTGGATTTTTTAAAGAATATTTTTGGGAGGTCGTGGATTTTTTAAAGAATATTTTTGGGAGGTCGTGGATTTTTTTAAAGAATATTTTTGGGAGGTCGTGGATTTTTTAAAGAATATTTTTGGGAGATCGTGGATTTTTTTAAAGAATATTTTTGGGAGGTCGTGGATTTTTTAAAGAATATTTTTGGGAGGTCGTGGATTTTTATACCCTTCACCACACTGTGGTACAGGGTATTATGTCTTTGTGCATATGTTTGTAACAGGCAAAAATAATCGAGATAGACCCATGGTTCCTTTTGAGAATATGCATAGAATCACTTTCTGAGTCGATTTATGCATGTCCGTCTGTCTGTCCGTCCGTCCGTCCGTCCATGTATTTTTGTTAACAAAGTACAGGTCGCATTTATGATCCGATTTGGATGAAATTTGGCACAGGTCACTTAATTGGCCCAAGGACGAACCCTATTGAAATTGGAGAAAATCGGTCCACGTTTAGGCATAGCTCCCATATAAGGGTACCCCAAAATTTTCGGTATTTTGAGGTTCTTGAGCGCGTTTTTTAACTGAATTCGCTGAAATTTGGTACTTTGAGTTCTTATTGGGTAGCAAATCTCTCTACCAAAAATTATAAATAAAGGTCCATTTTTTCGGATAGCCCCCATATAAGATTACCCCCAATTTTCGGTATTTTGGGGGTTTTGATCGCATTTTCCGACCGAATTCGCTGAAATTTGGTACTTTATGTTCTTATTGGGTAGCAAATATCCCTACCAAAAACTATAAATAACGGTCCATTTTTCGCATAGCCCCCATATAAGGGTACCCCCAAATTTTCGGTATTTTGAGGTTCTTGAGCGCGTTTTTTAACTGAATTCGCTGAAATTTTGTACATTGAGTTCTTATTGGGTAGCAAATCTCCCTACCAAAAATTATAAATAAAGGTCCATTTTTTCGGAAAGCCCCCATATTAGGGCACCCCCAATTTTCGGTATTTTCGGGTTTTTGGGCTCGTTTTATAACTAAATTCGCTGAAATTTTGTACATTGGGTTCTTATTGGGTACCAAATTACTCCACTAAAAATTATAAATATAGGTCCAGTTTTTCTGGTAGTACCCATATAACGGTTCCCCATAATTTTTGGTATTTTGGGGGTTCTGATCGGATTTTTCGACCAAATTGACTGTAATTTAGTACGTCGAGTTCTTATTAGGTAGCACATCTCTCCACTATAAATTATAAATATTGGTCAATTTTTTCTGGTAGCCCCCAGGTTTTGAGGTTCTTGAACCAAATTCTAATACCCTGTACCAGAAGTATTATGTTTTTGTGCATGTGTTTGTAACATGCAAAAATAATCGAGATAGACCCATGGCTCCTTTTGAGAATATGCATAGAATCACTTTTTGAGTCGATTTAAGCACGGAATTTGGCACAGGGTAGCAAATTAGGTCTAGAATGATGTGTGTAAAGTTGCCTGAAAATCGGTTCAGATTTATATATAGCTCCCACATATACTTTCGTCAGATTTAATGTAAATGGTGCATCAAAGTCCCTATATATCTTTCGATTTGCACGAAATTTGGCACAGCGTAACAAATTAGGTCTAGAATGATGTGTGTTAAGTTTCCTGAAATCGGTTCAGATTTAGATATAGCTTCTATATCTGACCAAATGAACAATTTAGTATCGGTTGCAGAATGACGTGTTTATGGTTCCAATTTCATTTTACTGGTCCTTTAAAAATGCGACTTCTGTTAGGATTCATCTGTTGAATATACTCAAAGTGGTGAAGGGTATCATATAGTCGGCCCCGTCCGACTTTACTACTTTCCTTACTGGTTCTAAAGAATATTTTTGGGAGGTCGTGGATTTTTTTAAGAATATTTTTGGGAGGTCGTGGATTTTTTAAAGAATATTCTTGGGAAGTTGAAGTTTCAAATAATAACTTCAAATGACTTTTATTTTTTCTACTATTCTGGAATATAAAATCTCTGCCGTATACGGCCCAGAAAACCATGTACTTCTCGATTTTCCCACCCACACAAAAAATACAAATGAAAAAAGAGCTCGTTTTTTTCTAATTTTTTTCACTTTCATGTTAAAGAATGAAAAAAAGTAATCAGTAATAATTTTTTTAACTTTTAGTTTTTGTCGTTTTTTAATAGATTTTGTTGTTGTTTTCTTTTCTCTTTGGCTTTTTAACAATTTCAAAAAAAAAACATGCACATAATTGAGAACCTGTAAATCTGCAATAATCATTAATTCGAATTTCGAGCACCAAATTTTCATGACCATCAAACAATTAATCACAATGCTTGCCATCTAATGTAATGAAATTCAAAATTTTTCAAAGATGTAATGCGTAATGTGAATTGAAAATAATTACAATTTAATTTTTTTTATAATAATAAAGAACTGTAAGATCCAGATTTGTTTTTTTAAGTCTTCTTTTTGTATCATCTCATGTAACCAATACTTCTTTTTTTATTAATGACAACGAATTTCAAAACATTCCATCACAAACCTCATACCACATAAGTGTATATATATATTGATATATTAGCTTATCTTTGCTTGCGCTTTTGTTTTAAGGCCATACAAATCTGCACCAGGACGAAAAACCCAAAAAAATAATCAGCAAAGCAACTTTCATCATGTCGTGTCGTTTAAATAATAATAAATAAAAAAACAATTCAAAATCAAACTCAACTAATTTCAGAGAATGTTACTATTTTTTTCAATTTTGGACAACTAATATCAACTACTACTACTACTCAGTTCCGCACTTTTTTATATATTGTTTGAAATGCAATACTAACCAATTTTGAATTCCAAAAAAAAAACTAAATAAAATAAAATAAAAAATTATTAAAAATTCTATTATTTTTCCAGATGTCCCCACCGGCAAATCTCGGTCTGCTCAGTCAACGAATAAATCAACAACAGCAGCAGCAACAACAACAAACGATCAACAACATCGGACAATCAACAACAGCAGCACAAGCAACGAACAATTCAGCCACAATCAATCGACTGGAGAACAATCATCAACAGCAGCAGCAGGCAGCAGCAACGTCACAACACAAACGGAGCCTTTCGTTCAATCATCATCTCAGCTACAATCAATACACACACACTCAGCATCCACCACCTCATCAAATGCATCATCATCCTCAACAACAACAACAGCCACCAAGTCTACCAAGTCATCCAGTGGCAGTGCCAAACCACAAATCAAATTTAGTCCAGACATCGAACAGTATTTCGAAGACACAAATGCCGGTGCATCATACGGGAAACACCATGGCGGGAGCAGCAGTGGCGGCGGGGGGAAACGCAAGGACAGGAAACACAAAAGGTAAAGGACATGATTTGCTGGGAAGGCCGTAAAGAAATTCCCTATATAGAAGATTTGTAAAAGGCATTAAATAGACCTCCCACAAAAATTCCTTAAAAAATCCACGTCTTGTAGAGACCTCCCACAAAAATTCCTTAAAAAATCCACGTCTTGTAGAGACCTCCCACAAAAATTCCTTAAAAAATCCACGTCTTGTAGAGACCTCCCACAAAAATTCCTTAAAAAATCCACGTCTTGTAGAGACCTCCCACAAAAATTCCTTAAAAATCCACGCCTTGTGGAGACCTCCCACAAAAATTCCTTAAAAAATCCACGCCTTGTAGAGACCTCCCACAAAAATTCCTTAAAAAATCCACGCCTTGTAGAGACCTCCCACACAAAAATTCCTTAAAAAATCCACGCCTTGTAGAGACCTCCCACAAAAATTCTTTAAAAAATCCACGCCTTATAGAGACTTCCCACAAAAATTCCTTAAAAAATCCACGCCTTGTAGAGACCTCCCACAAAAATTACTTAAAAAATCCACGCCTTGTAGAGACCTCCCACAAAAATTCCTTAAAAAATCCACGCCTTGTAGAGACCTCCCACAAAAATTCCTTAAAAAATCCACGCCTTGTAGAGACCTCCCACAAAAATTCCTTAAAAAATCCACGCCTTGTAGAGACCTCCCACAAAAATTCCTTAAAAAATCCACGCCTTGTAGAGACCTCCCATAAAAATTCCTTAAAAAATCCACGCCTTGTATAGACCTCCCACAAAAATTCCTTAAAAAATCCACGCCTTGTAGAGACCTCCCACAAAAATTCCTTAAAAAATCCACGCCTTGTAGAGACCTCCCACAAAAATTCCTTAAAAATCCACGCCTTTAGAGACCTCCCACAAAAATTCCTTAAAAAATCCACGCCTTGTAGAGACCTCCGACAAAAATTCCTTAAAAAATCCACGCCTTGTAGAGACCTCCCACAAAAATTCCTTAAAAATCCACGCCTTTAGAGACCTCCCACAAAAATTCCCTAAAAAATCCACGCCTTGTAGAGACCTCCGACAAAAATTCCTTAAAAAATCCACGCCTTGTAGAGACCTCCCACAAAAATTCCTTAAAAAATCCACGCCTTGTAGAGACCTCCCACAAAAATTCCTTAAATAATCCACGTCTTGTAGAGACCTCCAACAAAAATTCCTTAGAAAATCCACGCTTTGTAGAGACCTCCGACAAAAATTCCTTAAAAAATCCACGCCTTGTAGAGACCTCCCACAAAAATTCCTTAAAAAATCCACGCCTTGTAGAGACCTCCCACAAAAATTCCTTAAAAAATCCACGCCTTGTAGAGACCTCCCACAAAAATTCCTTAAAAATCCACGCCTTTAGAGACCTCCCACAAAAATTCCCTAAAAAATCCACGCCTTGTAGAGACCTCCGACAAAAATTCCTTAAAAAATCCACGCCTTGTAGAGACCTCCCACAAAAATTCCTTAAAAAATCCACACCTTGTAGAGACCTCCCACAAAAATTCCTTAAATAATCCACGCCTTGTAGAGACCTCCAACAAAAATTCCTTAGAAAATCCACGCTTTGTAGAGACCTCCGACAAAAATTCCTTAAAAAATCCACGCCTTGTAGAGACCTCCCACAAAAATTCCTTTAAAAATGCACGCCTTGTAAAGGGGCTACTAAAATATTTTTAAAAAAATCCACGGCTTGTCTAGAGACCTTCCAAAAATATTTAAAAAAAAATCCACGCCTTGTCTAGAGACCTTCCAAAAATATTGTTTAAAAATCCACGCCTTGTGTAGAGACCTCCCAAAAATATTCTTTAAAAAATCCACGCCTTGTGTAGAGACCTCCCAAAAATATTCTTTAAAAAATCCACGCCTTGTGTAGAGACCTCCCAAAAATATTCTTTAAAAAATCCACGCCTTGTAAAGACCTCCCAATAATATTCTTTAAAAAATCAACGCCTTGCGTAGAGACCTCCAAAAAATATTCTTTAAAAAATCCACGCCTTGTAGTGACCTCCCAAAAATATTGTTTACAAAAAAAAAAAAAAAAAATACACGCCTTGTAAAGACCCCCCCAAAAATATTCTTTAAAAAATCAACGCCTTGCGTAGAGACCTCCAAAAAATATTCTTTAAAAAATCCACGCCTTGTAAAGACCTCCCAATAATATTCTTTAAAAAATCAACGCCTTACGTAGACACCTCCAAAAAATATTCTTTAAAAAATCCACGCCTTGTAGTGACCTCCCAAAAATATTGTTTACAAAAAAAATACACGCCTTGTAAAGACCCCCCCACCCCCAAAAAAATATTCTTTAAAAAATCCACATCTTGCAGAAAACTCCAAAAAATATTCTTTACAAAATCCACACCTTGCAGAAACTTCCAAAAAATATGCTTTAAAAAATCCACGCCTTGTGTAGGACCTTCAAAAAATATTCTTTAACAAATCCAGGCCTTGTAAAGACCTCCCAAGAATATTCTTTAAAAAATCCACGCCTTGTAGAGACCTCCCAAAAATATTCTTTACAAAAAAAATACACGCCTTGTAAAGACCTCCCAATAATATTCTTTAAAAAATCAACGCCTTGCGTAGAGACCTCCAAAAAATATTCTTTAAAAAATCCACGCCTTGTAGTGACCTCCCAAAAATATTGTTTACAAAAAAAAAAAAAAAAAAAAAAAAACACACCTTGTAAAGACCCCCCCAAAAATATTCTTTAAAAAATCAACGCCTTGCGTAGAGACCTCCAAAAAATATTCTTTAAAAAATCCACGCCTTGTAAAGACCTCCCAATAATATTCTTTAAAAAATCAACGCCTTACGTAGACACCTCCAAAAGATATTCTTTAAAAAATCAACGCCTTACGTAGACACCTCCAAAAGATATTCTTTAAAAAATCCACGCCTTGTAGTGACCTCCCAAAAATATAGTTTTAAAAATCCACGCCTTGTAGTGACCTCCCAAAAATATTCTTTACAAAAAAATACACGCCTTGTAAAGACCTCCCAAAAATATTCTTTAAAAAATCCACGCCTTGTGTAGAGACCTCCCAAAAATATTCTTTAAAAAATCCACGCCTTGTGTAGAGACCTGCAAAAAATATGGTTTAAAAAATCCACGCCTTATGTAGAGACCTCTAAAAAATATTCTTTAAAAATCCACGCCTTGTAGAAACTTCCCAAAGATATTCTTTAAAAATCCACGCCTTGTGTAGAGACCTCCCAAAAATATTCTTTAAAAAATTCACGCCTTGTGTAGAGGCCTCCCAAAAATATCCACGCCACATATATTAGTTCTTGAAAAAATATTTTTTTTAAAAAATCTAAACCTTTGAGAAGTCTTTTATATAGGAGGGTCTTTATTGGTCTCCTATGGAGTGTAATATTTATGTTCTATACTAAATCTCCTTTTTCTTTCTTCTTCCAGCTAATTGGAATATTACAAATATGCGCCCAGCACCACCATTACGCCCTAGCATTTTAAATACCAGCACAACCGGCGGTAATAGTAGTGGTGGTGGCAGCGGTGCCGGTGGTAGTATTGGTTCCAATCTATCCAATTATTGTAATGGTCGTAAAAATCAACCAAC